GTATAACATCTTGGTTTGCTGCCAGGTATGTACTCTTTACAGCCTTAATTCGACCCGAATTAATTGTAGCCGCCGCGCGCGGCTCCGCGTCGTAAACATTCGCCGTCGAGAGCAGCGGAGTATGGCATTAATTGTTCGCACGTGTACTTGCATAGCGAAGTGTTGCGCATGTTTACTGATCAAATACACACGTGGAAATGGAAGACAGCCGCGCTTTTAAATGCATAGCAACGTTAAGGGATCGAGAGCATCATTAGAATCTGTATAATACGTAGATTTTACCTTCGCTCTTTTATCTTTAAAAATAATTATAATAATAAACTGTAGTCTTAAGAAAATGTATTCGCGCGCTATTCGTTTCTTATCACACTTTTATTATTGTACTTATTATTATAATATTTGTTTCACTTTATCCTGGTAATCTTCACGTTTATATTCTCATTATATGGCTGTAAACAAGAGGAGCATAGAATTAAATGACCGAGCGAGGAATATAAATTCACAATGAGTAAATCTAAGTCTAAAATATATTTGTATATATCACTGAAAACGTTATCTATAGCAAATAATAAACACGGATATTTTTGATCATTTATCTATTCAGGTTAGGTATGATAAGAATATAAACGAGAATAATATTATTTCTGTTCAATTTGGAAATTCTTGTTTACGCGATGTTCGATTTTGGATAAAATTGATGTCGCGTGATTCTATGTTAGATTATAATTTTTACATATATCTTTAATTAAAAATTAAATATACCTTGAATACACAATAATAAAGTACAAGAATTCTACTTAAGCTTTGCGTGCGCCTATGGGGAGGTCACCATACATACGTTTGTGTATTAAATTGTAAGATGATTATTTACAGGCGCAAAAATTATTTCTTGGTCCTGACAACCCTGCATGTAAATTTTACGTTTCGGTTCAATATTTCATCTGACATATTTAAAATTTCTGTTATTTATTTCGTCTCGTGTATCGTTTAAATAAAACATGATAAATCTTCCTCGTTTTTTATTGTCAGAAACATAATTATATTTTTGTTCTAACTTACAAACGTATTTTATACACACTACTCGATTCTTTTTACTCACATTACTCAGAGAAGATTTATACGTTTTATTTTATATTACATATTAAATGTATTGGTATACGATACAATATAGTAAACGTAAATTAAATCATAAATATGTTTAAATGTAAAGAAGAGAACAGGAGGAGAAAAAGAAACAAAGCAGAAATAAAGTAAGAAATAAAGTAGAAACAAAGTAAGAAATAAAGTAAACTTACAAATAAAGATGGAAACCATCATATAGCAGTTTGTGCTGAAGAAATTAAAACTGAAGTAAAAAGAACATGTGACTGATTTAAGTTTAGACAGATATAATAGGTCAACAAGTCGACAGTGGCGTTTTGGGTTAACTAATCTGTGTCTTAATTTTTTTTCTGTTTCTTTAGTCTGTATTAATCATTGAAGTCACTCATTTTTTCTCATTATGTATACCACATTAGATAATTTTGTCACATAATGGTTCAACAAACTCACAATTTGTGCAGCAATCCTATTCCAGCGTATTTTTTTACTCGGAACAATTTGTTAGGACATATCTCGAACAGTCACATAAATAAATTATAATAATATATAGAGATTATTATTTTATATAGATATAATGGACATTTTTTTACCAAAAATTGAAGTATTAGTCTCTAATAAAAAATGTAAAACCAGTAATAGTTCTTGGATTTTATTATGGGATGCGAAAAATGGATTTTATGATATTTAAAACTCGTATTTGACAGCGTATTATTTATGTGTAAAATAAAAAATATATAATAGAATTAAAGATTTGAATTTTTATAAAAAAAGTTTTAGAACCTCGAGATTTCGACAGATCAATGAGATTTGTATTTTGTGATTTTAATTATAACTGGATAATTTAACGAATTAATTAATTTAAAATTTATTTAATTCTATGTTTTTTGCAAATTAATTCTAATTTAATTTGCAAAAAAACATTAATTTATATATAACTCGCTCAAAATTAATGGTCTCTAAATTGGACAAATTGTTAAATCGTTTTTACATTTTTGAGAAACAGAGCAAATTGACCTTTTTTTTTATTATGTCAAAACTTTTCTTAATCCGAATTTCATCTCTTTCAACTAGAAATGCCTCACTAAGGAAAGTTATTATCGAATTCGCATTAATCTAAGCACCAAAAATTAGTAGCAATTTTTATTCTTCCACATGAAAACTCTTTGTGATCTAATTGGGTTCAATTAGGATTCAGTTTAACGTAATAAAAAAATTTAGTTAGAATGTTTATGAAGATCAGTAACATAATGATTTTTTATATTTTTTATTACATATATTCTTTAGAATCCAATCCAATACATGTTAAAAATCGCGGATTTCGATGTTTATGAAGATTTAGATCAGGGATGTAACATTTTTTTAAACATTTTAGTTTTGTAATCCTGTCGACGAAGAGGATCTCACGGCGACTGATTGCCGTACAATCGATGAGGACGAGGATTAGTCACGATCACGCGCATCGCGCGACAACCGATTTTCCATTATCGAGATACAATTGCAGGCACTGATAGCTTCCTGGGTACTTTCGGTGATGCTCAGTGCACGTGAACCGGCGCGCCTCTCACATCTACGTGGAGGGTGGTTTACCGTACTGGCACGCGATCACGCACAAAGCTAGCTCAATTGTTCGTTACTTGTCTGGTTAAAACTACCGACGCGACCGAGATTGGGCCCGGTATTATTTTCAGTGATATCCTCGCGAAATTCGCGCGCGTAGAAAATCAGAGTCTTCAATCGGTTATTGAGCTCTATTCGAATGACGATTACGACGCAATTGATTGCCGGTGTGTGTGCGTGACTGGCATGTCGTGAAAAATGATTTGATATCAATGCTACATATCGATTTTTCACGCTTAATACTTTCACATGCGTATACGTGCGTCGACTTAATTTATTATTACGAGGTGCTTTTGTTTAAAAAATATATTTGTTTTATATATCTCTTATGGATATCTCTATTCTCTTTCTCTCTTTTTCTCTGCTCTTTTCATTAATGATCAAGTGAAAATTTTTTGTACCATTACAATGTAATTATCTTAACATTTTCACTACAATTTTTATAATTTCATTACTTATTTTTTATTCATATACATAATTTTTATAGAAAATGATCACCTTATAATAAAGTAAAATCATAATAAACTCGTATAGTGAAATAATCTTATATTTTTTTATTTTGACAAACGCATTAAAAAGTGTATACTAATTTTGTATAAATCTTGATTTTTCCAGGAAGAAGAGCTCTTTTATGATAATATAAAAGTAATATAATCATTGAAATTTTGAACATTAAAGAATTTTAAAAATAGGAATTAGCGTCTTTTTCTGGATATTGAGATGCGTATTTTATGGACATCTTTCTTGTGAAAACTTTATAATAAACCAATGGTAAGGCTGCACCGGCTGCGAAGACACGGTATAATGCGCCTGCCGAGGGTGCCTGCAGAGTCGAAACTTAATCGTTTGTATTGTTTATAGAGGCAAAGGATGATCACTCATTAATACTAAATACAGTCCGAGAATACTGTCTGACCTCAAGATTAAATCAATGGTATGTCAGTCGATGTCTCTTGAGTGACCTCCGGGTTATTCGATGTGATAGGAAGGAACACGTGTAACTTATTTTATAACGTTATTATATTTGTATATCGTTTAATTTGCGATTCGGTAAGAACTTTATTATATAACGGTACCACACCGAGATCCGTTGCTAGGCGGTTTGCTGAAAATCGCTTATTGTCCTTGAATGTGAGAGAAATACGATTAAATTCCATATAGATCCAAAGTGATGCAACTGTCGTATCTAAGTTAAACTAATCTGTCTTAGTTAAAAAAAAACGAAATAAATGTAAAACTACATTACTTCACTGATCATATATATATATATATATATATATATCGCTCTTATTATTCATTATATTTATCCAGTTTCTTCGCGAAGTTTCCAGATGAGAACGTATACCGTTCGGAAATCGGCTGGTATACTCACCTAAGAACCGCGTTTCACTCGCTTTCGTTTTTCAACGCGCGTGCCGGGCCATTTGTTTCCCTTTGAATTCGCGATAACATAAGAATAACGCCATAATCGTGCGAGAAGATATAGCGATCGCAATTTGTTTGCGTTCCTCCCACTAGCGAGCATCCTGTTGTCTATATGTATACAATCGCGCATTGCTTGTATAAAAATCGCGCAATTGTGCATTACAATTGCACACAACTGTTACGGAGACGTCGCGACTGCAAGAACATTTCGGACCACTTCATCCGAACGGACGGCGCGGCGGCGTGTCTTTTACCCTGACCGACACCTCCGGTGGCGACGACGACGACGACATCGATTCCTCGAAGCGAGACTTCGATGTGATCGTGACGTAGCCGTGGCAAGAAGAGCGGAGAGGACTTTGTGGTAGGGACCTCAAACTCTAGTTGTTTTGATCTCTTTCGACTAACATATCGCAGAGTTCTCCTGCCGTAGTAACACGGCTGACGTCAACGTAGCTACGTGCCTCTCGTTTCCTTCGGCCACTCAAGTCTTCCTTGTCCATCCAAATCCCATACTTCTTCCCGTCCGCATGTCCGTCGTGGAGACACCCGCCACGCCGCACCTGTCACTCCTTTGATTACGTTACCGCAGGGATATTTTCCGCCGCGCGGAAAACCAATTTTCGCATCTCTGAAAATTTGTTACTTTTTCTGTAAAATCTGAAGCGTCACCATCCAACGGGACGGTACTCACAAACGGTAGCGGAATTCAAGAGAATATTTGATCCTACTCGAAGAGCTTTATTGCTGTAGTCGCGGAAACGTTATACTCTGTGAAAATTTACAGAGGGCTACCACTAAGCAAGAAGAAAGATAGTTCTCTCGCTCCTGGCGCGAGGAATTCACTACGAGAATAGATAAGTAACATCCCTTCCACGAAGAGGAATTCGAAGGTTCACAGGGTGAGTTTCATTGGCCTCCGGATTTATATACATGTCATTACAGATCCGAAGAGATCTACGAAGAAATGTACTTTGTACTATTATAATTGAAAGAGTCCTTTTAATAATAATAGTACAATTTTTTTACACGTTGATTACCAATTAGACAACTTCATTTCCAAAGTTAATTTTATATGCTTTTCAATTACAGTTATATTCTCCTCTCTCTCTCTCATTCTCTTGCAATGAAAAATTCAGAATAAAATTCTTATTTTCTCCTAAAAATAATCAAATCGGCAAACAGTTAGCATTCATTTATAAATCGTGAATTACGAGTTGATTCGTATTTGATAGACGACGTGTTAAATTGTCCAGAAGTAATACTAACAAAATAAATGAACAGATTGTGCGAAATCATGTGATAAAACTGTAACGGATGCGCTTGACAATGCTCTATCCGCGTTCATAGAAATATTATTGTATATTCGGTGTCCTCGCCAGTACAGTGATCATATACTTTTCTACCCCTTACCACCGATGAAAGACCGAGGTTTCGCGGAGATTGAGTTTCAGTACGTACATTTGAGATACTCTTCGAGAAATTTGGTTTCGATAAACTTTTAGGAAACATCTATTAATCAAGATCGCGGATGTGTGTACTTTAATGAACGCGTAGAGGAGTATTTAATTAAGTGACAGACCGTTTCGCTTTTCCTGTCTTGCAAGACTAGGCTGAGCACATTCAATTATTATTTATTAATTAATATTATTGTTTTAAAAAACACTAGTTTTTAAACTTCTTTTCCTGTCATTATTTACATGTTTTTGTCATTTGATGTGTTTTTGATTCTATGTGTATATAGAGCGTCGTGAATGTCGAAAATGAGATCACTTTTTTAAACAATACTGAAGGTTCAAAATGCATTGGAAATGATTAAGATTGTTAAAGCATTGCTTAAATGATTTCATTGTTAAATATCAAGCTTAGAAGGAAAATTTCAATATACCGAATATATATATATATATGTAAACATTCTTTTCTTAAGATTCATGTTATATGTATAGTACATAATGTGTTATGTGTGTAATATAGTTTTATATACATTTACATTTATATACATATCGTGTATAAACGTACATACACACACAATCGACTATAAATAATAATACATATAAAATAAAAGAAATGTCAAAAAAATAAATTTTACGTATAGAGTATATTATATAGGTACATTATCTAAATTATATTATATATTCTTATATATATATCTTCTTTTATCTTATATAAATTTTTATTTACTCTCTATTTTTAGAGAGGAAAATTTTTAAAGGTTATCAATATACGATAAAAATTTACACGTGTGACAGATATGAAATTTGGACACGACACTATCTGCACACTAAGATAAATATTTATTAATAAGAAGTATCACCAATTACGGTTTTCATTACGATATTCATTACGATAGGGGAGTATCATTATATATTTGCAGTTAATTAGCCCCACTGTCTTTTGGCTGTGACAAGTATATAAGTTAGCGTAACGCGATCCGTCGGGGGAAACGCGAAAGCCACATATGGCATGCGTTTTCACTGCAAGATCTCTCAGTGAGTCAGGTAAGCGCACGCGCGTGTATATCTGTGGTTTCTACATATACCTATAGTACAAAGTGACGAATTGCTGTCAGATGTCAGCGCGATTAAACTCTGACAATACACCTCGTGGTGTATACGCGGAAGTGCGTTTCGACTCTATCGCGGCGATGATGAGGTCGTTATTCAAATTAAGGGAGGAACCGACGAGACATCGAACGACGGCGTCGCTCCGTGTGAAACGTTCATTTTCATTCGGTCGAGTTTGTCGAGCGGTTTACCTAGTGCCGCTGACCGGGTCCTGTTGATTTTGTGTGTCATAATAGCGTATTAACGACGACTTGCCACTCGCGATCTTATGACATATCTTCTGTCCTTCTAACGACGGTGAATCGTAGCGTAATCAAGTTTTTTCTCCGTGTCCTTACAAAATAATGCTCGGTATAAATACTGAGTTGTTGTTTGAGGAATATCCTCTGAAAAGCATGAAACTAGACAAAAATGAATGTTAATCATGAACAATTTTATTACTGTTGATTATTATCATTGATTTTCGTGCATCATCGATCGCTTTCGAAAAGTATCTGTCCAACATAATTGAAGAACAATTGTAGATGGAGATGCGCTTTTGGCGTCAGCCGCATACCAATCGAGACGCGGATCGGTCATACCGTTGTGTATAAATAGTCGCAGGTAGAAAGAAAGAGAAAAAGAGAAAGAGAGAATAGTGTGACATTGGCGCGTGATTATAATAGTGCCTGAGATAAAAAAATCTTAACCGGATTATGCTGCGCATAATCAAACAAGAAATGGGGAACAGGAAACACGGAATAAAAATTTCAACCTATCAGAAATTATGTATTCCAATGCACAGTACATGATTTCTGATAGGTTGAAATTTTTATTCTCTGTTCTTTGTTCCCTATTCCTTTGAATGTGCGCAGCCACTTATCATAGTTAAAGGATCCCGCGAGTGTTGATGATGCATGCCACTTCTCGACGTAATGTTCGAACTACAATAAAGTTGAAAGCAAGAAGCTGCATTAGATCGACTAACAAATAGACCGATTATGTTATCTGAAACCGTGCGATAACAACACCATTATTGATATCATTTTGTGATGATCATCATCCTATTGTCTCTCCAGGTGCAACTTGTTTTCAACACCTATACATCGAGAAATATACGGTATTTCTCGATATATCGATTATTATGTCCATTGCCATAATACGTGCACAACGTTAGCAAACGTTTTAACGATAAAAGAAATTTTTAATGAATATAAGGTACACAGAGGAGACCTGTAATTTTAATAATTTGCAAATTTTAGTGATTTATGGATAACAATTATTTTTTATTGCGTTTGCAAAGTGTGACTTTACAAAATAAAATAATCTTTTTAAAATAAAGTTTATTTCTATATTATTGTTATAGTATAGTATTATGCAAAAAATATTTATACAGTAAGAACATTTAATTCTTAATCTTTTAAATTTAATTGTCGATCTTGTAAGTTCCCTAAGAACATAAATAATTATATACGTATGTATAAGAATCTTTCATTAAAATTATCTAACGATTTGCACGAGTGAGTTGCACCGTTTGCTTAAGGATAAATTTAATGTTATTACGAAATTAAGGCATTCTAATGCGCTCCTTTAATGCATCTGAAGAGAACCAGAGTAATTTTCCGGTATAAATGCGATCTCTTCATTTAATACAATCGCGCAGGCATTATCTTCCAACGTACAGTTTGCAATAATAATTCTTACACTATAGTAAAAACGACAGGATGCATAATGAAAGGGTGAGGCATGCTTATAAAATAAACAGGATGTAATGGAGAAAAGGACATCCTCTCCTTTCATAAAACTCTCAAGTCGTTCTCGTGATCGACGGACAAAGGATTACTTTGTTTTTCATGTATTTCCTTCGTTTTCAACTCTCGCATACTACTTTGCGCGCGATAACGTGCAGTTAATATTATCGTTGTTAAGAGTTCTATTTCTATTCTACCCTAGCTTCGTTGTTATTATAGTATTCGAACAGACGCGCTTCAGCGAGACGTCTTTATTTAACCAGGACGCGATGCGTCGACATTTAATTGCTCGAATTAATAATCCATTACAATGTGATGGGTATTTATACCTGATGAGTTACGTGACGCACAATTTTGCCCGCGGATATACATTCGAGATGAATTTTATAATCAATAGGAATTGTAATCTGTGTAAGCAACAACCATACAAACTCTGAAAATATCGCGGATCGCTTATTAGAATGCGACTCTGAGCGATAGAATTAAAAAATTTCACTAATATCACAAATTTGTTCTTGTATGATTCGATTAAAATTACTACAATTTTATAAGATATATTTATGACAGATTATAATGGAATATTTGTTTATATAATTTTTCAGTATTACAACGTGTATTTGTGTGACTAAGGCTTTTCAACGATGTGGGGCATTTTGCTGGAATTTTTATTTCTCTTCATCTTGAAATCATTTATTGCTGTGGGAAATGCATATCCAATTACTGATTCAGATATAGAGCTTTCAAGGAATAATAATGTAATGACGACCATGAATGATTCAGTCAAATCGACAGTTACGCCCATGTGTGTTTACATACCACCGAATTTAGATGTTTGTAAATTTATCAGGTAAGTCACGAAAAATTGGAAGAATCAAAATCTATCGTTTATATTTTCCAATTCGTATAAATATATCAACAAATTACTTTTCTTTTGCTCTTGCTGCTTTATCTAAAGAGATATTCATTATACTTTTCTCAATTAAAATTGAAAAAAGAGTATAGTTAAATACATTATGAAACCTCTCTATATAATAGATAATAGTCTCTCGTTATTTATTTTCCATTATAATAAAACTTCATTACTTTTGATTTATAATTTATAGTTTGTACAGTTATAAATCGAAAGAAAATTTCTGGAACTCTGAGCACAAACTATCGGAGAATAAAAAGCGCAAGTTATTGGAAAGTAATAAAATGTACTTCACATCACGCCCATCGACGCATGTTCCAGAAGCAAAAAAGTTTCAAAATCATCCATTTGTAAAAACTATAATATATGAAATACAAAGATGCATACCGCCGAGGTAAGAGTAAATGAATATAGCAAATAAATAATAGCATAAACAATTACGTTTTGTGTACCTTAATGATAACGCGAAAAATAATGTAGTAATGTAATCAGTTTATATAGTGCTAATACGAGAAAGAAATAGAGTATATTGCATTGGTAAGAACCAAGATATTCGTTCCATTTTGCAGATTGCCATTTGTTCTACCTTGGTGCACCGATGAAGATCTCTCCGATAAGAAGAACGAAATCCGCCGGCTTTATCCTTTCATGATAGATGGTTTTTCAAAAGCAACGTACGAATTTCCTATGTACGATTTTTTAAAACAAAGTCGAGTGATGCCAAAATCGGCATAATTTGTGACATACACACTATTGTGTAAATCGACGAATTTAAATGGTCATTAACAATCATGTCTAAAATCTGGTGATATTAGATAAAAAAAAAACTCTCATTCAATTTTATTATTTTATCATTTCTATCGCGAATTTCGTTGATAAATTCACAATATTAAAAAAAATGACAAATAAAAATGACGCATGTAACACAAAATTTATATATTATATATCGTATAATATAAGTATAGGATGTACCAGAATATACAGAAGATAGAATCCGAACAAATTGTGAGTTTTCAAAATCATCTATTTTAATAAAACATAACAATTGTATGAAAAATATTTTTATATTTGGATTAGGGCGTTCCTAAAAAAACAATATTCACAATATAGCCGTCCTCTACTTCGATGACCGTTTCAGTTCTGGACCGGAAGCGCGCGCATGCCTTTGCCAGGTTCTCCTTCTCCGTATTCGCGAAAGACGCCTCAATAGCTTTCACTATAATAACTTTCGACGCAATGTTGAGATATCGAGTCTTGTTGGAGTGTCGCTCAATCACTAAATAATCCAGTGGATTCAAGTTCGGGTTGTTAGGTCAAAATTCCTTACTCCAGAACTTGTTCGCGTCTTCTTCGGACCCGCGTCGGATGGGTAATCGCGTAGTGACGGGTATTATCGTAAACTATCGATTCCGAAGAACGTGCGTCCAGCGCGAAAACTTTCAAACAATCATGGCTCTCCGGTTATATTCTTAACAGTCTTTAACCAGCTTGGCCATGACAAAATTATTTTTTGTTCCCAATGGATCAAGCTTACTTGAATGTCTAGTTGTTGGCTGACGACAAGTACGAAAAAATTCCGGCGCGCAACCGAAGAATTACATTCGTAATATATAAATTCACACCCGTGATTCAGCTTAGACCGCTGTGGCATTGTCTCATTCGGTTTGAAATTTTGCGGTCCAGTAAGAATTGATATTGTTTATTTTGAAAATTGTCCGGATTCTAATAATACACCTATATATAAGAATTAAAAAGCGTATACATTTCGCAAAGATCGACGTAAGTTGAAAGAATGATTGAGCGTTTATAATGTAACGAAAGACTGCAAAGTGAGACGTATAGTTAAAAATAGAAAGTTATTTAACATTAAGCAATGAGAAATTTTTCAACAATAGATTGTAATAAGTAACGAGAATGATACAGCAATGTGATTGTTAGTTCTGCCGTTGTTCAACATAATGATACTTTTGAGATAGCAATATTATAATAATAAAAATCATAAATCAATACCTTTAATATTATGATATTATGTATCAAATCTTTTATAACAATAATAATAAAATAGTCTTGTAGAATCTTAATGTAAAATTATCCTCGTAATAAAAAAATTGGAAAATATGTATAAAAAGCTAAAAAAAATATCTTATTATTATTGATCCCTCAATTATGCCTTACAAATTAATTTTATATTTAAAAGATACATATATCTATGTAAGAAAATAAAAATATATGAAATTGAAAGAAAAAGTGCGATAAATGATGCGCGATTAATGTAAAAATAAATATATAATTCAATAAAATTTATTTGCAATGCGATGTTGCTGTGTCTAAAGATGACGTTATCATATACATTATAAATTATTTGTATGCGATACTGAACTTAACTTTAAATGATGTTCAAGATATACAAAGTTTAGCACAGTTTAGCACATCAAACTGTATTAGGCAACAGATTTTTATTTACTTTAGAATGTAGGTACACATGATATATATAACGTAGATCAACGTTTCAGTCTCTTTATTACATGCTGAAGATAACCAAAAAATGTAGTCAAAACGTCTATGTAAATTTTTAAAAAATTAAATTATTATATTTTTATATTATTTGCGCACCGCCGACTTTGTAAAAAAAATCTAACTATTTCTCTCTTTCAAAATTTTAATTATCAGAAGTTCTATTTATTTATTAATAAAAAAAATCTGAATATAAAAAATATATAATTTTAAATATTTTATATTAAATTGTAAGAATTATACGTATAATTATATTCTGTTCTAAATTATATTCTATATACTCTCTCTCTTTTATATACCATATATATATCTTTTAATTTCATAACGTTATCAAAAATAACAGTAGTAACGGAACGAGTGCATTTAAAAGTAACATCAGAATATATATGATGAGAGAGATATTAGAAACTCTGCGTAAGAAACAGTGTTGAGGGTGGCAGACCATGAAATTCGTGGTGATCTGTGGAACACTACGATCAAGAGAGATCATATATCGGATAGTTCTGAGAAATATAAGGCCATTTACAGGTTCACAGGAGAGTCGATGAAGGCGAGAATGACCGACGATGTGCAATAAAGGAAACGTGAGATATCTTACGGTGCATCCCTGATTCGAGTACGAGCTGTTATAAACGACACACGTGCTAAGAAAACCGCCGTTATACGTAAAGCACCGAACGTGGTAGGAATTTCGGCTAAAAGATGCTACTATTCACACAAATTAGTTATTTTGATTAAATTAATATGTAGAGATGATGATTAAATTAAATAGATTTATAGTTGCAGTGGTATTAAGAAGTTATAAAAATAAGATTTTGCGTTAAAAAGATTTATTCTCATTTACATTTTAGGTATCTTCATTCATTGTATTGTGAAACCCGATACCGAGAAATCAGTATATTTTAATTAAGAAAGATACATTGTAATATCGTTAAATTACTTATATGTTAAGATATTTTTGCGTACTACTTTATCATATACTTTATATATGTATAACTCAATACAGATTTCTTTAAAAATATATGTTTTTATTATTAATAAATGGTTTTTATTATGGAAGATATTGATAACCAGCTGAATCTCTCGACTTCTGAACTTCTGACAAAGGACTTCAATATTATATTCTACATTATGATTAATATGTTTTGAAGTTTAAACTTCTCATCTGAAAAAAGATAATGTAAATACAGTTAATTGGTAAATTGCAAAAACGGCACCAGTTAAAACTGAACTCTGCCTTTTATCTAACATATGTTATCACATTCACTTAATTAGAATTTAATTATTTCATAAAGTAACAGAAGGCATGATTTCTTGAATATAACAAAAGTTTAGAGTTATAAAAATTTTTATTGTACAAAGATTTTGATATAATGGTATTATAAGAGATATCAATTGTATATAATAATAAAATGTATGAATTTAGAGAGAGAGAGAGAGAGAGAGAGAGAGAGAGAAAGAATTCGTCTAGATAAAAAGAACACTAAAAATTTTCAATCAATCAAATATATTACAGTTGCATATTTTAATTCCAAGCTCTTCTGCAGAAACATACAATAAAAGTTGGTCGTCTATGTGCAAAAAATAATTTTGCCGCTCTAGAAATGTAGACATAAAGTTATTGTATTTAGAACGAGAATCGACTAAAAAAAGGAGATTGCGCTATACTTAAATAGTATGTGTTTTAACTTTTTCTAATTTAAATTTTTTAAACTAGAAAAAGATAAAAAAAATAAGTTAAATGAAAATGAAAGTTAAAAACAATTTCATTGCTCATATCGCTGATCGGTCAGTTTAATACAAAATTTTTTGATTGGTAATATACTGAAAAATTTCTAGACATCAGCTAACGTGAATAAATGCATGCTATGCCGGAAGCAACGGGACTTTTCTATTAAATTTAGTTTATATTGATAAATATGAACAGTAATGAGAAAGACAATTTTAATGAAGATGTTGTCAACATTTGCCGCTTATGCGTTATATACGCGTTGCATTATTCTTTCTAGGCACACTCCTACTCCTTTTCTCCTTTAAAAAGAAAAAATCTAGTAAAGAGACTATAAAATTGAAACTTCTTCTTTTTTAAAGATAGGAGATTAATAAGACAGTTTAAAAATGTATATATATATTATTAATGACTAATTGGAAATATTACCTTCTGCTTTCTGTAGAAAGCTTGATACTGGTTGAGATTCTTCTCTAATATGATACTGATCCAAATCCCTCAAATGATCTTAAGATAATATCACCTTTATCTACAATAGTCTCATCTTTATCTACAATATCTGGATCTATTTTTATTTTTATTGTTAACTTTAGATTATTCTTTACTGTGGATGTCGTGATTTCGTGATCGATATTGAATTCGGTAATTTCGTCTATTATCGATTCTAGCATCGAGGAATATTCAAAATGGTCCGCTAGATATTGCAAGCAAGCTTTTGTATTATTGTATGGATTATATGTTTTACACCTTGGTGTAGGATAAGAATATGGTTCACATATCTCGAAGAGTGCATTTGGCAGCAGAAATCGCAAGTATCTTTTATAGTCCATGACATCCATTTTTCTTGATTGTTCGCAGGGGTGGTCCTGATTAGTCGAAAGTATACTCTTCAAAAAGTCATATAAAATAAACGCTCTTGGTGACAATAAATCTATCAAGGGCATACGGAGAACTTTCCTCTCGTGGGTATCTCTTGTAGTTTTAATATGTGAGTCTATTAACATTTGAAGATAATCTTCTGCCCCAGCTGAAGGATATAACTTATTTAATTTTTCAAGGGCGAACGTTATATTTGGCAAAAGTTCATCTAGTTTATTTAGTTTAGTGAAATTGAGCTCAGATTTGTGATCTTCAGTTGGTTCAGTGGTATTGATCTCGGGTTTGTGATCTTCAGTTCGTTCACTGGTATTAATCTCGGGTTTGTGATTTTCGGTTGGTTCAGTGGTATTAATCTCAGATTTGTCATTTTCAGTCGATTCAGTGGTATTAATCTCAGATTTGTCATTTTCAGCCGATTCAGTAGTACTGATGATTTTTAATTTGTTTCTTAATTGTTCAATATAACGCGTCAGAGCTTGCAAGCAACCTTCTACTTTCATAAAAAATTTTTCCCTATACTCAGGAGGATTATATAATGCTGTCCAAATGTCGTCAATTGTCTTCTCTCTCACTGTGTCGCAGTAGTTCTTCAAATCTTCTTCCTTAAAGATGTTACTAGATACATTCAATTCCTTTGGTAACAAAAGATTTAAAAAAGGATATTCATGATTGTCAACATCT